CCCCCACCCCAGCCACCCATTCTTATCTGATTCTCCACTCCTTGATGGAGGATGGTAGGAGAACAGCTCCAGGGTTGCCAGGCCAGAAGCCTCTGGTAGGCAGAAGCTTCTGGCTAGGGCTGGGGGAGGCTGGGGTTGGGGTGCAGCTGAGCAGGCCTTGCTGTTGGGGCCACTGGGTTCTGCCTCCGGTTCTTCCTGGGTCCTGATGCTGCTGGTACCTTGTCATCTTTGACAGGCAGCCATGGGAAGGTACTCATTAATTATTTTTATTTATTTATTTATTTAAATAAAATGAATTAATTTTATATATATCTTTATATATAAAAATTAATTGGTATCTTCTTGTGGCTGCCTGTCAAAGATGACAAGCCTTATTTATTTATTTATGTAGATATATATTTTTAGGGGTCCTGCAGGCCAGATTCGGCCTACTGGCCATATTTTGCCTGTCCTTGTGCTAGAGTCTACCATACTATCAATGTTTCTGAATGGTTTCCTCTGTTGCTGAAATGTACAAAGTCCTGAAAACAGTGTCAGCAAACAGTAGGCTGCCTATAACAGAGCTTCCAAATTATTAAATGCAGTTCAACCAAGGAGGGGTTCTCAACAAAGGGAAAGTTTGAAAATTTTCTTTAGGGATCCTGATATAATAAGTCCCAATTCTTTGGTCTGGAAGTGATGATGTTTTACTTTCATCCAAACAGAAATATATAGAATCCTGCCCCACTCCAAAAAACACATACACAATCATTGGAAAAATAATTCCCCCCTGCCCCACATGCGGCCCGGCTCAGCCCCCTGCCAGGAAGAGCCTGGTGCTGCCCCCGGCCCCAGCCTGCAGCAGCAGCCTGCCCTCGCCCTGCATGCAGATCTGGGGGGCACATACCCCTACAGGCCTTCCCAGGGTGTGTGCAGCATCAGGAGCTGCCTCCCCCCCCTCCCCTCCCCTCCCTGAGCCCCTTGGACAAATCACAGCTGTCCTGCACCCCACCCCAGTTATGCAGTGCCTGCCTGTGCCCCATTCCCTCCCTCAATCTGCCCCCGCCATGCCCCTTCCCTCCCCCTCCCCTTCCCCCACAATAGACGTATCGGCCTGATGCTGCTCTCCACACTGCTGGGTTGTGCTTCTGTCTGCCTGTGTGGTGCGCTGCACCTACATGTGTGCGCATGGGGCATTTACTGGCGACATTATCGGCCACATCAGCCAAAAAAGCTGACTGCCAGTAATGTCAATTTTCCTTATATCGGTGCCAGTACGATATGGGACCGATGTATTGGTGCACCTCTATTTTTGTACATAAATATAGTTGTTCAAATAGCTGGGTGTTTCATTTATTTGAATGTCTAAGTCTACAGGAAAATTGGAATATTTAACTAAATACTGTAATTACTTTATAATTGGCATGTTGAAGGACAACTTGATGCTTTGGAGGTGCCCTGTGCAGTTCAATGGGTGCAGATGCCCTTTAGGCATTATGAGTTTCTTTATGTGCAATAATAAATTGCAAAGATTTGCCTAAAATGTTCTATCCTCTCCACCTCCATGTACCTTTTGTTTGCTTCAACTTCTCTAGGCCAGAATTTTTAACAATTTTTTTTAAGTAACTCAGCTCACTAAATGGTTGGCCAGTTTTCAAAAGAACTCAGTACATTCAGGGCATGTTAGTTATCAAGCTGTTTGGAATAAATTGGTTGTAATGTCTAAATATATTACAGCCGATATTCTAGACACAGACTGCTGTAAAAGAGCTTCCCCTTATTGAAGGTACTTTAATGGAAATTGAACTGTTCTGAATATCTATACTTAATTGTGGAGACTAATCTTGAGCTCTTGTCTTGGACACTAGAGAAAGTTAATAGTAAGTTCTGGTTTTAGGTAATTATTGGAATGTGAAGAACAGTTCTGTTTGCACACAGCAATGCATTTTCTGTATGTTGTGTTTTAAAAGGTATATATTAATGTCTTTATGGTTATGACCAGGTCCTGGAGTCATTTAACATTCTACTTCACCTTTTTATTACTTTCTGCTCCATCTGCAATATTGTTGTTTGCAGACCTATACAGCTCATAAAGATTACCTGGGAAGCTGTTGCTAGATATTAGCCAAGCCATTTCAAGGTGTATTTTTCTAACAAAATGCAAGATTATTAGGAAGTCTTCTAAAGTCCTGATTAAATGCATTTGATTTTTATTTTTTTTTGTCCAAGAAAAGACAAGAGTGATCAGCAAAAACAACTGCAGGTTTTAATAAGTCTCTTGTGAAAGTTGAGCACACATTCTGTTGAGTGTTCCCTCCATTCTTAGTGTATTCTACATAAATCTCTGCAAACTCATTCAGAATTATTTTTAGAAGTGTATTTATTAAATGGCCATTGCTTGCTCCTGTCCACTCTGAAAAGCATTCCT